AAATACACGGTTAGATTTGGCATATCAAAGAACCCCAATAATTCAATTTTTGATGAAATCAAACAAAGTTTAATTTTGGACCCTTTTGACCTCAATATGAACCAATTTGATAGCGGGCCCACAAATAAAAAATCTAAATACATGGTAAGATTCAGCATATCAAAGAACCCCATATATTCAATTTTTGTTGAAATCAAACAAAGTTTAATTTTGGACCCCAATTTGGACCAACTTGAAAACTGGACCAAAAATCTAAAATCTAAATACATGTTTAGATTCAGCATATCAAAGAACCCCATATATTCAATTTTTGTTGAAATCAAACAAAGTTTAATTTTGGACCCCAACTTGAAAACTGGGCCCATAATCAAAAATCTAAACACATGTTTAGATTCAGCATATCAAAGAACCCCAAGAATTCAATTTTTGTTAAAATCAAACTAAGTTTAATTTTGGACCCTTTTGACCTCAATATGAACCAATTTGATAGCGGGTCCACAAATAAAAAATCTAAATACATGGTTAGATTCAGCATATCAAAGAACCCCAAGAATTCAATTTTTGATGAAATCAAACAAAGTTTAATTTTGGACCCTTTTGACCTCAATGTGGACAAAGTTGATAACGGGGCCCAAAAATCAAAAATCTAAATACATAGTTAGATTAAGCATATCAAAGAACCTCATATATTCAATTTTTGTTGAAATCAAACAAAGTTTAATTTGGACCCCGATTTGGACCAACTTGAAAACTGGGCCCATAATCAAAAATCTAAATACATGTTTAGATTCAGCATATCAAAGTACCCTAAAAATTCAATTAGGGTTTTAATTTTGGACCCTTTTGACCTTAATGTAGACCAATTTGAAAACGGAACCAAAAATTAAGAATCTAAATACACAGTTAGATTCGGCATATCAAAGAACCCCAATAATTCAATTTTTGATGAAATCAAACAAAGTTAAATTTTGGACCCTTTGGACCTCAATGTGGACCAATTTAAAAACGGGACCCAAAATCCAAAAACTTAATACACGGTTAGATTCAGCATATTAAAGAACCCCAAGAATTCAAGATAAAACCCCATTGAAATTGATCAAGAAATACCGTAGAAAGGCTTGTATAGTCCGCGGTTTTATTCTCCAAAATTGGACCTTCCAGACGGGGTGCGGACTATAGAGTACAATAAGCAAGAAATAAGAGAAAAATTTCAATTTCGCGGTCGAGGTGGTTTGTTTACGTTCCGCCATCTTTGTTATTTCTATTGTAGAGGGCGCTCTTATCATTTTTCAAACTAATAATTTTAACTCATCCATATTAATAAGTTATTTCTATTCAATATCAAATTAATACTGATAAATATAAAAAAACAAACCTTTCATTACAAATTTCTCGTTTCTTTTCAATGCATTGGTTGAAATAAACTGGTATCTGCTTGATTGAAACGATACAAACATAGGGAAAAAGACAACCGTAAACCAGCTTAGAATTTGTAAACTACAAAACGTAATCGGTTATTGTTCGTTCCGTTTTGGTGTTTCATACTGACTAATATGGTTTGTATTAGCTTAAGACCCTTCAAACATTAATGTGATAGATATATTAAAGACTGTTTTACAAAAGGATGGAACTGTTTTACTTTCAAAGTCGTATTATAGTGATATCTGTTATGTACGGATTTCGACTCTCACCGGTTAATTTCTTCTTTTACACGTGCTTTTTAAACTTCCTGTTTAAACATACACAAGTTTCTAAATTGTTTTTTAAGTGAATTAAACTTATTTTAACAATTATGAAGCGTTCTAGAATCATTTACAAGCAGTTTCAGCTTCTGTTTGATGATGGAAAACAGGTTTTTCCAAGAAAATACCGCAAACGACCGCACAGGATTTGAAATTACCGGAGTTTCATTAGACCTTTTCTAACAGTTACAAAAAGTTTTTTTACCTAAAATTTCGTTGGGAGAAGGGGGTGCGGACTATGTACCACTGCGAACTATACAAGCCTTTCTACGGTAAGCAATTTATACGAAGTATCTTCTTTTGCACAATACTGTGCAATTGAATATTTCTTGCTATTGTGCAATACTGTACAATTGACAATTTCTTGCTATTGCGCAATATTGTGCTATTGGATATTTCTTGCTATTGCGCAATACTGTGCAATTGAAGATTTCTTGCTATTGCGCAATACTGTGCAATTGAAGATTTCTTGCAATTGTGCAATACTGTGCAATTGAAAATTTCTTGCTATTGCACAATACTTATTATATAATAATTTACACATCCTGTTTGGTGTGTATCTCCTACCATATCATTATTATTTGCTTTTAAATATTAATCAGAAATAACCAACTTAAAATGGAAAATTTTAAAAGAAAAAAAAAAGGAAAAAAAGAAAAAAAAAGAAAAAAAAAATCCCCCCCACAAATTTTTTGAACCCCCTTATGATTCATCACCCCCCAACTCAATCCCAGCCTTCCCTTTGTGGTATGGTACCTTGCAGTACAATTTCAGAGAGATCCATACACTTGAACACAAGTTATTGTCTGGAAACTAGAAAAATGCTTATTTTTGGCCCCTTTTTGGCCCCCAATTCCTAAACGTTTCGGGCAATTACCCCCAAACTCAATTCCAGCTTTCCCTTTGTGATATGGAACCTTGTAGTACAATTTCAGAAATATCCAAACACTTACACACAAGTTATTGTCATGAAACTAGAAAAATGCTTGTTTTTTGCCCCTTTTTTGGCCCCCAATTCCTAAAATTTTGAGGCAATTACCCCCAAAATCAATTACAGCCTTCCCTTTGTGATATGGAACCTTGTGGTACAATGTCAGAGAGATCCATACACTTACACACAAGTTATTGTCTGGAAGTTACAAAAATGCTTATTTTTGGCCCCTTTTTGGCCCCTAATTCCTTAACTGTTGGTACCATAACCCCCAAAATCAATCCCCACCTTCCTTTCGTGGTATTGAACCTTATGGTAAAATTTCATGGAGATCCATTCACTTAAACTAAAGTTAGAGTGCGAAAACCAATGTGTCTTCGGACGACGCCAGACGACGAAGCCGACGACGACGCCAACGTCATACCAATATACGACCAAAAAATTTTCAATTTTTGCGGTCGTATAAAAAGAAAACCAGATACTGAAGAGGAAAAAACAAAAAAAACAAAAGTAGTATGAAGAAAATAGAAAAGAACATAAATTTAATGTGAAATGGACAGAGGATCGTGCATGGCTTAAATATTTCAACGGTGTAATGACCTGTGTAGTATGTGTTGAGTCAAATGCCTACAAACAACCAAATAATCTTAAAGGACAAAACAAACAAAAATGGGATAACTTTAATGATGAATACTGTGAAGCCCAGAAGGGTGGCTGAGTGAGGTGGAAAGCTGGAGTAGAATTTTTGAATTTAGCCGGGAATAAAATTATAAGCCAAAGTAGTTTTTTTTTTTGTTTTTGTTTTTTTGGTCCAATAATATATGAGCTGGTCCAGTAATATCTTAATCATTTACTGGACCAAATGTATCAGAAAACCTTGGGAACCACTGTTTAACTATTGTTTTGAAAGTTAAATCCAAGGATGTTCAAAGTCACCGTTATATTTCTTCATTTAAACATCTACAGAATTGGTCCTTGGTAGATTCGAAAATCTCGATTTTCATATCAGTCGCCATTGTGTTAACCTGTACGACTTGTAAAACACAACTGTCTCCTTTATACTGATTTTTGATAGCGACATGACTTCGCTATAAAGTCAGTTTGCCGGCGAGTAAACTTCGCAAAACATAATACTAGTCAGTCAAGGGTCTAACTTAAATAACTTATTAGAGAAAAATAACATACATTTGTTAATGAGGGCTAAAAAATAAAAAATCTGTGATGACATATGTATGTAACGTGTTTCAAAGGGGCATTATACATCCTTTATTTTGTTAAATTGTGTACTAGTTCTATTGATATTATAATTGTCTTTATGTATATTAAACTTTAGAAAGATAAAACAGCCCATAGTTTGCCAATCATGCATAACACACCCATGTTATTACAGAAAAAATATGCCTGTAATAACTAAAGGGTGTTATTAAAGCTTCTCTATATCTCTTCAAAGCCTTTTCTCCTACATATATCACAATGTATTTTAATTTATTGTAATAAATAATGATAAGAGCATGTAATGAGGTTCTGCACAAGCTTCCTAGTCATTCCCAAGTGTCTCATGTAATAAGTTAAATGCCTGTAATACATGTAACTAAGCCTTGTTATTACAGCTAAGTTATCACTTAAAAGCCTTGTCTCATTGATTTACCATGGTTGATCAAAAATGTATTAATTGAATTGGAAAATTAGTTTTTAAGGTTATGTATTATGTTACTGCGCAAGTTTCCAGAATTCCCAAGTGCCCCCTGAAAATAAAAAATGTTATTTAACTGATAACAAACATATGTTACTACAGATTAAGAGAAAGTATCCATAATAACACATGTATGTTATTTTTCTCTAATAACTTATTCAAGTTACACCCTTGACTGCTAGTCATGGGTGCTGAAATAACTACATTGGGTGCCAAATCAACCAGGTCCCCAATTTGACTATACAGGGTGTCGATTTGACCAGGTGCCGATTTAACCAAGTGCTGAAGTGACTAGAATTCAGACAATGTCATCGACTGTTAGTGTTACAGTGTTAGTACTGTTACTGTTAGGCAGTGAATATAGAACCACAGCTTGTATAAAAGTCTGGCGCCAATCATTGTATTTAGCATGTATTTTTATAAATATGAGATTTGGTGCACTGTAAAATTGGCTCAAAAGTGCCTGTAGACTGTACCAAAAGTTGGCAAAACAATTTTTTATCAGTACAGAGAGTTGTGCGGTACCAAACGCTTTCGTTTTCACAAAGTAAAGTAAATATGTGAAATCATATTGATGATGGGATTGAGAATTTTCGGGAAATTGAGTATGCATTTTTCTTCAATGCCAAATTACCATTTTGAATGATTATTAGACTTCCACACGCTTTTTTCAGCATCCAAGATGGCGCGGTTAATACATCGGAATATCTTTTGATTTTTCTTAACCAAATTTTAAGTCATCGGAACGTTTGTTGAAACCGTATTATCTTTCTATTTTTAGCGATATTACTTGACTCCGACTTCAATATCTGACACGACTTTCCGATTTGTTATGTACTGAAAAAAAAACACCGTCAAGAATGGATGAAATATGGACACTGCTTTTACTTTGTCTTGCTATGTTAATTGGTTGTTATATGTCAGGACTGATACCACTTGCAATCACATTTTCAGAGGTTACTTTACACATAACGACTGTTTTTATTTAAAGTTTTTTTTCAGGATAAACAGCTGACGGACAATCTTAGGTACAAAAAACGTAGCAACGTCAAATTTGAAAAAAAAGACTTTTGTTCAAAGCCGCATAATTTAAAAAATCCCTCTTTGAATAAATAAGTACGAGTGGTTACAACTGTACAAAAATGAAGTGTGTCACTGTGATAAAATAAGGTTTGTGACTGTGTTAACTAATGCAAAGGTTACAGAAAAATTCATTAAAATTTCATATCCTAGTAAAACCACCTTTCAAATACAATACACCTTATCGCTATTTGTCCGCCATTACTGGGCATCACAAAGGTTCCAGTAAAATTTTGACGACGTAATAGAAAACATCTGACGCCACAATGGAAAAGTGATTGTTGTATGACGTCAATTGTTCAAGAGGCACAGATTCTCAAGTCAAGTGGCGCAGATTTCCAAATAGCGATAAGGTCTATTGAAGCTTATTGTGTAGAATTTGGTAACACTTGTGTCAAAATCTCGGATGATTTTATCAAGGATTTTAATCTCTGTTGAGTCAAACTTGGTTGATTCAAATTGTTGGTAAAGTTCAGTAAGTTTTATAGTCCTTTCCGCTGCTGGATAACTCAGACTAAAACAAAATCGGCCTATCACAAACTCGGACTATAACAAACTCGGCCTACCTTTATTTATATGCAGAAAATTCTGAAATATATTGAACAAACTCGGACTACGATTAGTAGTTAACGGTTTTTTTCTGACTTTTTAAAAAATTTACTTAATATATAAAAATTTTATACGAATTTATGAGATAAGAATAATTATTTTTGAAAAAAATATATAAAAAATGTATTAAAATAAACTTGGATCCATCATATAAAATATGTGTTTATATGAGATACAGTTTAAGTGATATATAATAGATATAAGAAGGTGTGGTATGAGTGCCAGTTATTAGTTTAAATTAAGGTGATTTAAAAGGTGTCAACAATACACGTGACAGTATGATGTCATATTTCAAGTTCAATCAAATAAGTTATGCATATGATAAATTATTTTGAAAGGGACATACAAATAATATAAAAGAAAAGACAAATAAATGGTAGATTTTCATTATTAAATGAATTTATTCTTACTTTTCTTTTTATTTATATCTCCTTAACGTAATTTTACTTGCTTCTAAAATTTTCAAAAAAAATTATTTAATTATTGTAAATCATAATTAATGTAATATTAATTAAGTACTGATACTTAATTTCAAATAACGAAAATAACATCCAACATCATACTTACATTCTTCTACTAGTCCGAGTTTGTTATAGTCCGATTTTGTGAGGCCGATCATGTTATAGGCCGAGTTTGTTATAGTCCGACTTTGTTAGAAATATCAGGGAGTCGTCCTTTCTATGTAAATTTAAGGTAGCACTACAGTTTAATGATGATTTTTTAGTGATTTTTTTTATCACTTAATTTTAAAGTATTTATCCATCGGAACATTTTGATGTCACAACAGGGAGTTAATTAATAATTAGGTTATGTAAATAAAATGGTGATGATGGGGGTTTTTAACGACCTTGACTGGCTATACAGCCCTCGCACGGTCGGTAAAATAAAAGCACATGGTAAATACTTTATATATACATGATATAAGAGCATATGGGAGGAGCTAATCATTCAATCATCTGTTGATACCAAGTGTCTAGCTGTTAATCTTTGACCACAAGAAAAATAATGTGGTGTTATCTTATTATGTTGAAATTAAACTTGATATTTAATAATGGAGGTAAATAAATAAAATTTAAAAGAGAAAAAAATGTAGAGGGAATAAAATCTAAAGTGAAGACATATATAGATAAACATAAATGTGTATGAGTAGCTTAAACAAAATTTTGAAAGCCTCTGTCTGACAAATGACAGTGTTATGGTGGCTGTTAATTAACACCTTTGTTAATTGTCCAAGTGGAACTTTAGTGTGTTGAATATATTTCACCTGATATAAAAACAAAAGGAATTTGAATAACCCAAGCCAAGCTTAAAATTCATTACTTAGGCCACCCTTAACAAATTCTTTGTTTGATGTTGCCTACCCATGCCTTGTAGGGTTAGGAAGGTAGGTAGGGATTTATTTTTGTTTTACTAACAACATAAGTTACATGTTTGAGACGAGAAATCAAGGTAAGAGCACGAAAAAAACTTTTAGAAAAAAATTTGTAACAATATGTGTCATAAAATTTTTCGGGTAGGCTGCATTTTAGGTGGGTAGGTACTAAGGTAGGCAACACCAAACAATTCTAATTTTATTTTTGGCCTTACCACAATTAATAGGAATAAAACAATTATGACTAATGTTCAATAATTATGAGTCTGTCTGTTAAATCTGTATAAACTATTCACATTCATTAAAAAATTGGTTATGAAAATATTCTTACTGTGTTTGGTATTTAAGGGGTTGCATGCATATGATGTTTGTGATGTTAGCCGAACAATCTCTTGAAGGCACTGGGTCATCCCATGGGTCACACTTGACCTCTGATGAGTTAGACCTCAGATAAGTTGAATACTTTCATCTGGTCCCTTCGTCCTCGACTCAACAAGGTTCGACTGTACTTCTGTATATTTCATTACCATTGGTAGCTTAAAATGACGTCTTCTATTGTTAAGACCATTATCGCAGAAATATATATCAGGTACCGGTATACAATAAATAACTTAAAGAAGATAAAGAAATTTTGATTGCATTTTCATATAGATGATACTTACATAACTTATTCATTTTATTATATATCTTCCATTCAAAAACGATATACAGAAAAATTGGGAGATCACTATTTGGCATGTTTATTTCTATTTCAAACAGATTTAAGCTTTGTTAAGGTATTTTTGAGTGAAACAATGTTTAATTCGATGAAAATCATTTAATTTGAATGGTATTTTTCTGGTTGACTGGATTTTCTATACATTTTCTGTTGTAATTTACACACAAAAAAGCCAATGCATAAAATTTGCCCCAAAAAGAAGATATCAAATGACGTTGGATATTAATAAAATTTTACCTGGGATCCAAATTTTTTGTTGAATTTTTTTAAATTAAAGTTTTCCTTTCAAACTTTTTAAAGAATTTGATTTTTTAAAGCAATATCTATGTTTTTTTATGTCATGTCTGTTATCATTATTTTCTGTTCCAGTTTTAAGTTTGACATTTTTATTAACATTTTGACATTGACCATGATGACAAATATATTCTTTTGTAGGAGAAGTTAAAACTAGTGACAGTATTTGGAGCAGGTCTGCTTGTAGGGACAGCTTTAGCTGTAATTATTCCAGAGGGAATACATGCCATGTATAGTGCTGGTGAAGGTTTGTAGATAAAAAATAAGATGTGAATATTATGGAATTTTTATTTTAATCTACATGTATCCATCAACAAGGTTAAAAAGTGCATTTAGAAAAGAAAATAATTATACAGGGAAGTGAGGGAACCCCTATGACCAATTAAACAAAATTAACAGATTTGGAAACCGGGTTGAACAAATCGATTATCCCCTTATTTAAATAGAATAAACCTTTCCAGCTCTTCCATGCTTTGATGTATTTAACCTGTCTGTAACTTTTTTGAAAAAAAAAATTTAACAAATATGAATCAGGGAAATCATTTGATTATTCAAGAGATTATTTGCAGGTCACCACGAACATGAACATTCTTCAACTGCAAAAGAGGCTACAGAACATAAACATGAGGTCGGTTCATCGCATGACCATCACAGCCATGGAATGGAAGATAATCATTCAATAATTGGGGTTACCTTGGTAATAGGATTTATATTTATGTTGTTGGTAGACCAGATAGGAGGATCACATATGCATGGTTCATCAGGTGAGCCATAATTTATGCACATACATTTTTATTAGCTCACCTGGCCCGAAGGGCCAAGTGAGCTTTTCTCATCACTTGGCGTCCGTCGTCCGTCGTCCGGCGTCGTCCGTCGTCGGCGTTAACTTTTTACATTTTGAACTTCTTCTAGAGAACCACTGAATGGAATGAAACCAAACATGGCATGAATGTTCCTTATGAGGTGCTGACCAAGTGTTGTTACTTTGTAGCCGATCCATCATCCAAGATGGCCGCCAGCGGGGGACTTAGTTTAACATAGGACCCTATGGGAAATGCATACAAATGACTTCTTTTAGTGAACCACTGAATGGAATAAAACCAAACATGGCATGAATGTTCCTTATGAGGTGCTCACCAAGTGTTGTTACTTTGTAGCCGATCCATCATCCAAGATGGCCGCCAGCGGGGGACTTAGTTTAACATAGGACCCTATGGGAAATGCATACAAATGACTTCTTTTAGAGAACCACTGAATGGAATAAAACCAAACATGGCATGAATGTTCCTTATGAGGTGCTGACCATGTGTTGTTACTTTGTAGCCGATCCATCATCCAAGATGGCCGCCATCGGGGAACTTAGTTTAACATAGGACCCTATGGGAAATACATACAAATGTCTTCTTTTAGAGAACCACTGAATGGAATGAAACCAAACATGGCATGAATGTTCCTTATGAGGTGCTGACCAAGTGTTGTTACTTTGTAGCCGATCCATCATCCAAGATGGCCGCCAGCGGGGGACTTAGTTTAACATAGGACCCTATGGGAAATACATAAAAATGTCTTCTTTTAGAGAACCACTGAATGGAATGGAACCAAACATGGCATGAATGTTCCATATGAGATGCTGACCAAGTGTTGTTACTTTGCAGTCGGTCCATCATCCAAGATGGCCGCCAGCGGGGGACTTAGTTTAACATAGGACCCTATGGGAAATACATACAAATGTCTTCTTTTAGAGAACCACGGAATGGAATGAAACCAAACATGGCATGAATGTTCCTTATGAGGTTCTGACCAAGTGTTGTTACTTTGTAGCCGATCCATCATCCAAGATGGCCGCCAGCGGGGGACTTAGTTTAACATAGGACCCTATGGGAAAAACATACAAATGTCTTCTTTTAGTGAACCACTGAATGGAATGAAACCAAACATGGCATGAATCTTCCTTATGAGATGCTGACCAAGTGTTGTTACTTTGTAGCCGATCCATCATCCAAGATGGCCCCCAGCGGGGGACTTAGTTTTACATAGGACCCTTTGGGAAATACATAAAAATGTCTTCTTTTAGAGAACCAATAAATGGAATGGAACCAAACATGGCATGAATGTTCCTTATGAGATGTTGACCAAGTGTTGTTACTTTGCAGCCGATCCATCATCCAAGATGGCCGACAGCGGGGGACTTAGTTTAACATAGGACCCTATGGGAAATACATACAATTGTCTTCTTTTAGAGAACCACTGAATGGAATTGAACCAAACATGGCATGAATGTTCCTTATGAGTTGCTGACCAAGTGTTGTTACTTTGCAGTCGATCCATCATCCAAGATGGCCCCCAGCGGGGGACTTAGTTTTACATAGGACCCTTTGGGAAATACATAAAAATGTCTTCTTTTAGAGAACCAATAAATGGAATGGAACCAAACATGGCATGAATGTTCCTTATGAGATGTTGACCAAGTGTTGTTACTTTGCAGCCGATCCATCATCCAAGATGGCCGACAGCGGGGGACTTAGTTTAACATAGGACCCTATGGGAAATACATACAATTGTCTTCTTTTAGAGAACCACTGAATGGAATTGAACCAAACATGGCATGAATGTTCCTTATGAGTTGCTGACCAAGTGTTGTTACTTTGCAGTCGATCCATCATCCAAGATGGCCGCTAGGGGGGGGGCTTAGTTTAACATAGGACCCTATGGGAAATACATACAAATGTCTTCTTTTAGAGTACCACTGAATGGAATGAAACCAAACATGGCATGAATGTTCCTTATGAAGTGCTGACCAAGTGTTGCTACTTTGTTGCCGATTTACTGTTCAAGATGGCCACCAGGATATTTTATTAAATAACAGGACCAATATTAATCAAAATTTGGCCTCAATCATTATTTGGGTATCTGTTATGATTTTTATCTATCTTTACATGATTTCTAAAACCAAAGTAGAGTCAGGTGAGCGACACAGGCTCTTGAGAGCCTCTAGTTAATCATCTAGGAAATCTTTTAAACATGAATCCACCAGTGAAAAAAGTTCATTCAAATCCAGTTTACTGCAAATTAATGATAAAAAATATTTCTAAACATAAATCAGAAATAAAGTAACAGATAAAACAGAATGTTTTTGGCAGATTAAGTGATAAAGTAAAACAGTTTTGAAACCTGGAAAAAAACAAATTTAAATGGGTTATAAACCACTACTTTTTATTTTATCTGACCATTATAACATTGACCATGATTAGTCGCTTTGAAAATAAGGTTTTCATGAAGGAACACAAATTTTTCTATGTAGTTGTACATTGATTGGTGTTTAACACCATTCCCAGCACTATTGCACTATTTCATGACTGTCAGTTTTTATTGGTGGAGGAAGCTGGAGAGAACAAATTGCACCGACCTTTGGTAGAAAAACTGACAATCCAAGTAAATTAAGACCAGAGTTGAATGCACCTACCATGTGCGGGATTGGAACTCACAACCTCAGTGTTGACAGGCTAGTGATGCAGTAGTTGGACTACTTACACCACTCTGCCACTGAGGCCCTTACAATTTTGAAAGCAAACATATATATATCCTTGTATCCTTCATATTTTTTTTTAATGAGTGACAGATATAATGATTTTTGAAATTTTATCCCAACAGTTTGACTTCATTTTTGTGGAGCCTGCGACTTTTGTTGCAGAAAGCTCAACAAAGGGATAGTGATCCGGCAGCGGCGGTGTTAGTTAACTTCTTAAAAGCTTAATATTTCAGAAGATAGAAGACCTAGATGCTTCATACTTTGTATATAGATGCCTTATGATATAAAGTTTCCGTCTGTCACTTGTCCATTGTCCTTGACCTCATTTTCATGGTTTAGTGACTACCCCGGTACTTGAAAAAAAATTTAAAGATTTTTTTGTAATCTTAATTTCTCTCTTATTATGAGTAATAGGATAAGTATATTTGGTATGCCGTACTTTGCAAGGTCCTCATGCCTGTCAGACAGTTTTCACTTGACCTCAACCTTATTTTATGGATCAGTGAACAAGGTTAAGTTTTTGTGTTTTGGTCTGTTTTTCTTAAACGTTAAGTAATAGGTCAACTATAGTCCATAACTCAGATAATATAAGCAATAGGTCTATATTTGGTGTATGTAATGATTGTAAGGTGTACATGTCTAACTGGCAGGTTTCATCTGACCTTGACCTCATTTTCATGGTTCATTGCTCAATGTTAAGTTTTTGTGTTTTGGTCTGTTTTTCTAATACTGTATGCTGTATGCAATAGGTCAACTATATTTGGTGTATGGAAATATTTTACGATGTACATGTCAGTCTGGCAGGTTTAATTTGACCTTGACCTCATTTTCATGGTTCATTGCTCAATGTTAAGTTTTTGTGTTTTGGTCTGTTTTTCTAATGCTGTATGCAGTAGGTCAACTATATTTGGTGTATGGAAATATTTTACGATGTACATGTCAGTCTGCCAGGTTTTATTTGACCTTGACCTCATTTTCATGGTTCATTGCTCAATGTTTAGTTTTAGTGTTTTGGTCTGTTTTTCTTAAACGTTAAGTAATAGGTCATCTATATTTGGTGTATGGAATGATTGTAAGGTGTATATGTCTGTCAGGCAGGTATCATCTGACCTTCACCTCATTTTCATAGTTCATTGGTCAATGTTCAGTTTTCCTGGTTAACTTTGTTTCTTAGATACTATAAGCAATAGGTCAACTATATTCGGTCTATGGAATGATTGTATTAATGGTGTACATGTATTTCCAGCTTGTTTTATCTGACCTTGACCTCATTTTCTTGGATCATAAATGTCAATGTGATACTTGTAGTAAAAATTTATATTACGACTATCAAAATAAAATCAATGGTCAGTATAGGAGGCAAGACATTTCAGCGTTTGCACTCTTGTTTTTATAACAACTGTAAAGCAACTCATTGAAAAGAAGAAAGTTAACCAACAGTATTTATTTAAATTTTCAGATTAACATTTATACTTTTTGTAGAAAATTATTTTTATTTTTTCCAGACCCAGAATCACAAGATTCAATAGTACAACAGAACAGAAATAAAATAACAGCTACACTTGGACTTGTTGTCCATGCTGCAGGTATTTTTCATTTTGTAAATTTTATCTCAAAATTAATGTGTTTGAAATATATTTTAGATAATTTCTTTACTTAAAAATAAGAATTGATTAAAAAATGTATAGGCTGTGATAGCAGATGTCTTCTGTCGTTAACTTACACAATGTACTATCTCAAAATTATAAAGATCAAAAGATTTTCATGTTTCAATAGAGTGCAGTTTCTAGGATGAATATATTATTATAGTAAATCAATATTTTTAAGTAAAGAAACTATAATTTATAAGGAGTATTACACTCTATTTACATAAGGGATTATATGATAAAATTGTTGACACACACAATGTTTGTGCTTCAGAGGGCAGGAACAAGATGATTACTGTATTATTAAAGTGTACAATGAAAACAGATTTATTTTTAGAAAACAAGTGCAACATATGGAACAAATTTTGATTAAAATCTCATTTATTTTAACCTTTTGCATTACCTCTATTAAAGTTAATGTCAATACTTGTTTGTATAAGAATTAAGGCCAGGTCATTCATTGATTACTGTTTTTTGTAGTATCTGAATGATGAAAAGATTTGATGACTTGAAAATAGTGTAAATGGATGACATTAACATGCATGATCAAAGTATATCATTACAGAATATTTATAGTGTCTTACACATGATGGTCATGTATATAAAAATTTTGTCTCATTTTCTCAGGAACTACAAATCAAAGTTTTTTTAAAATTAGTAAACAAGCTTTATGTGAGTATGCTATATTGTGTTTGATGCATTTTCTCATCAACTTCCTATTTACTAAATACTTCTATCTGGAGTATCAGTAGTAAACAATAGCTCACAGTTCAACTTATTTGACTCTTGATTTTCTATTCTAGCTGATGGTGTAGCATTAGGTGCAGCTGTCATGTTAAATCATTCATCACTTACACTTATAGTATTTGTAGCTATTATGTTACATAAGGTGAGTCCTGCATGTTGTTTTTTTACAAAGAATTAATTTAGTTTAAACATGAATTATGCTGTATGACTTCTGTCCCAGATACTGTACACTACTTTTTTATGCTGATACTATACACTACTTTTTGATGCTGACAAAAGATAAAAGATGTTTAAACATGAATAATGCTGCTGTATGACTTCTGTTCAAGCCACTACACATTACATTTTTATGCTGATAAAAAGATAAAAGATGTTTAAACATGAATAATGCTGTATGACTTCTGTCCAAGCCATTACACATTACTTTTTGATTTTCTAACCAAATTGAAACATGTGATACAAGCAAGTCTGAGAAGAGATCCTTACTAGACTGTAGTCATGAATTATGCAAGGCTTTTTAAAAAAACTTAAAATCATTCAGAAATCAGTATAATAAGATGAATTTTGCTGATTTTTGAAGGATATTGTGCAAGTTGACATCAAAGATGGTGACAAAAGGGAATTAACTCTTGCTCAAATTTTGTCAATCAAAAACTATAAAGGCAAAATTTGGAAAAGGTCAGACAACCTTCCTACGTCTATCTCTTGTAAAAATTTAACTACATTATTTATTTTTTGTTATTCATATGTAGTATCAATTATTTGACACAGGTAGGTAATCAGACTTCTCATTCCATGTAAAATACTACTGGTAAATCTTGAGTTTTCTAATTACAGGCACCGGCAGCCTTTGGTTTAGTATCTTTCCTGCTGCATGAAGGCTTTGACAGACCTAGAATTAAAAAACATTTGTTTGTGTTTTCTATTGCTGCTCCATTAATGGCACTTGTTACATTTATATGTTTAAGTCAGGTCAGTATAATAAACATCATGTTAAAGATAATTTGACAAGAGCTGTAACAAATAAGCCATACAATAAGAAGTCATCTAAGAAAATATGAGGATAAAATCCATTTCAAACCCATTAGAACAACAAAGCTTATTGAAAGAATTGTCATCAGATGTGTCTATGATTTGTATAAGAAAAGAAAATGAAAACTGAATTTCAATGAAATCAAAATTATTATATGTTGTTATTTAATACCTCCTATACATAAAATTTAATTTGTTGGCTCACTAGTCAGTACAATCCTTACCTGCATTAAATAAAAGCCAGACAAAAGGGTAAAGAATTTGGCTAAACACAACATAAAGTATTCACCAAAATAAATGGTTACAGTATTCTTATTATTAGATACTGACTCAATTTGAAACCAAACCAGTAAGAAATAATCTTGCCTTGCTTGAGGGAGGTTGTGGGTTTGATCTTTTGTTAGGTAAACCAAAGACTTAAAGACTGGTATTTACATCTGCCGAGCACACAACATTTAGGAGTAAAGACTGGGCCACTTAGAGTTAAAATGATGTGTCTGGGTATGGTGACATGTCTTCCTATAGTGGCTATAGAGTGTTACTTTGTGAACTAGCACCTTAAAAATCTGGCTCAGCATGTTTGTCTAGTTCAAAGCCGGGTTCATATTCATATCTCATTATCATATTCGCATCCTAATGTGCATGTATTATTTTCCACTGGACTTTTAACACCAATTCATTATCATCATTATTGAAATATCCATTACTTGACCTATTGCAAGAATCTGAGGAAAGTTCTTAAATTGCATCTTATGACATTTTTATTCAAAGCAGATGACCTTGGTTAAATTTTTACTTCCAATTATGTCTTTTGTCTTTTTAAGTGACATTAATTGTGCAAAACTCCTTTTTTATATCATGAACTTGCTATTGACTATTAACAACAGTTGTATTGATTATCAATCAATAGTAAGCTTTTCTCAAAATGATTTTATTTTAAATCAAAGTCAAAATAAAGAATTTTAATTATCAGAGAACATTCTTACAGAAAGTATAACAATGACTATTATATTGTTCTATATCATGACTTGAACCTTACATGTATGTAAGTATTAAGTTAATATTTGTTTCATTACAGAAAAGTGCAGAGTCATTCACAGATGTTAAAACAACAGGCATTGCTATGTTATTTAGTGCTGGTACCTTTTTATATGTAGCTACAGTCCATGTTTTACCAGAAGTATCATCTGGACAAGTCAAACATACTAACCCTGATGGGACCATAATCATCCATGAACATAAAGGATTTAAAAGTGTAGAACTTGTAGCTATTGTTGTAGGGGCCATTCTGCCTGTTATTTTATCTCTAGGCCACAAGCATTGAATATTTATTGAAAATGATTTTGTTGATAAAAATATCTCACAAGATACCAATAAGAGACTGTCAGATAGCGGCTGTATAATACAACGATTGATATAGCATATCTCAAAAGATGTGTAAAAGAATAAAATCTCTTCAGCTTTTTATTTCAATTTTTAGTGTGTGTGTTTTTTTTTTCTGTGATGTTTTAAATATCTGTCAGTCTGAAATGAAAAATGTCAGATGTGTTTATTGAGCAGTAACATTTGAAAAATTTGTTTCTACTGTCAGAAGTAAAAAATTTTTAATGTTGAATGAAATTGATTAAATCAATCCTACTGAAAACTCCATATGGGTAGATCATATCGACTGCTGAATAAAACAGAACATAAGAGGAATAAAAAAATACAGAATAGAGATTTTATTCACGTCATTCAAGAACTTCTTCACATTATTTACAAAACACTTATCAGTAATATTTTAAGTTTCAGTCTTCAGTAGAAAAAGATAATATTAGCTAAGCCTATTGGTGTTACTCTGTCACATATTCAATATTTATGATTTCCAATATTGTCTATCAAACAATAGTTTTTGATATATGATTAATGGAATGTGAAGAAGCATTTCAATTACTTCTTAAAATAAGAAAAAAGCAAAAATCTAAATTATGTGAAAAAGATTCCTCAGATTTCAACAACTAAATGTTTTCATTTGGGAAAACTTTTTTTCTACGGCATTAATTAGCATGTTTTATCTTGCCATTAAAGACAAGTTACATATGTTTTATATTACTTTTTAAAATCATAAATGTATTAGTGTAATTGTCCTTTGTGGTTTGAATTTTTTATTTTGACGAAAAACCTGTATTGCATGGTTTTAAGAACATTTGCAGATACATGTCAAATAGGTTAGAAAATCTGTACCTTCTTTGCAGAAAGCAGGTAAATATTTTCCAATGAATGAGGTCTACATTTGTCATTATTTGATGAATGAGGTTATATTCAAAAAAAGAGTGCAGTAGAACTGCAGGAAGAGTGAAAATTATACTGGTAATGTTACTGCTATGTAGATAAGAGGGTGTCTATTAAAGAAGACATCAAGAGCGGTAAGAAGATTTAAGTGTTTTATGGTTTTTGGGTGTTTTTTTTTCTCATGTATAACAAAATCTCTTGTTAAATTTTGTTCATTTGTTCATTTTTAAATAACATACAGAAATTAGATAAACAAAAACAAACATCTGTTTCTCATTTCTCTATCAGTCGTTCTTGCATTAGAATGAATATTAACATGCTACAATCCAAATATAACTATCAATGAGAAAAATAAGTCAAAGCCCACATTTCATACAAAATGCTATGATATTAAATACCAAAAACCTTACAATGCAGCATTCAGTTAAAGAAAAAATATTGACAAGTGACAAAGATTTATTCAGATCATTTAAAAGAATTCAATCAAAAGTCTGCTGTTTCACTTTTCTGATAGATGTTATTTTCTTAAAAATGGTATTGACAAACAATTTAAAACAAAATAAAATCTGCAAAAGTGTATAACAGTTTTGTCAATACTTATTTCAGATATCCTCAATGACAGAATTATGTCTATTTATTAGTTTTTTGATAAACGATAGAAATTGCAGTATCATGATTTTGTGATTTGATCCTATAGAGAGTACTGGTGGCCAGGGTACCTACTTTTATATATCTGAAATTTTATATAATGTAGAATAAACTGAGAAAAAACATATTTAAAAAAATTAGAACTTTGTAACTACTTCTTAACTGATTGAGGGGCCTCGATGGCTGAGTGGTCTATGTAGTCGAACTACTGGATCACTATCTTGTCATCACTGAGGTTGTGTGTTCGCACCCGGCATGTGGTAGGTGCATTCAATTCCAATCTTATTGACTAGGATTGTCAGTTTTCTTACCATAGATCAATGGTTCTCTCAGATCACTTTGGCTTCCTCCACCACACATAGGGTGAAATAGCACAATAGTGCTGAAAGTTGCATTAAACAAAAATCAATCAATCAATCAATCAATCAATCTTAACTGTTTGAAATCAAATATATCAGGAAGAAAACATGTCAACATATCCCTTATATAGAACTATGTATTAAAGGGTTCTACCAATTATTTAAATTATTCTCTGATAGTTTCTCTTATAATTTTTATTTGATTACAATTTTGTTGTATGAATGTTGAAATTAAACCAGATATAATTTATTCTGTATGAAAAATAGATAATATATCATACTTTTCTTAAGTCTACTGGTCAGTATTCGAAGTTGAATTAGGTTGAGTTGTGAAGGAATTTGTGCACATTGACCTTCAACTTGGCAGCAAAAGGAAGACACTCTATCTCAATTTACTTCAATCAAGAACTATCCATTTATAAAACATCCTTATTTTTACCTTCCCTCAAAAAAGGACCACACAATTGTATTTTTTATAATCTGTATAACTAGCATGCTGTTATTGTTTTAATGAGGGTTAATTTGAATGTACACACATGTATATGAAATCTTGTCATCTTTTGTTTAAATAATATGTAACAATTTAAAATGAACATTGGTGAAGAATCATTTCATACTGTATAGACACTTAGAGTCTATCTTAGAAAATCCTATGTAGATCTATAGATGTATTTTATTTGTTGTTGTTTTTGGGTAGCTCACTTATTAATGTATACTCAACATCTCCTTTTATTTATATCCAAGGCCTACCTAATCTGAAAAGTTATCTGCTGAAATATATAACAAATATTTTAAATACTGTATAGTGAACAAGAAAAATACTGAATAAGAGAAAGCATATAAAAAATTGCTTAGATTGCAGAAAAGAAAAGTTAAAGATGTGAAAAGTGTACATGAATTTGTCTTTATTATGACAATTATCTGAATGACTTTCATATTTAATAATTCACAAAATAAACATTCTGTAATTCACTTGATATGACTAAAAGAGGAAATGTTCACGAAAAAAAATTGGGATCAATACCAAAATTTTAAATGGCACAATTTTAGATTGTTTTCACATTTATTCACTGTAGCTTTTTCCAGTATAGGACTTTTTTAGTGTAAGTAGGAACTGATACAAATGGGTTTTATTAGTCACTGAGCAATCTAGTCTCTTCATTCTTGTACCCATTATTATTAAGGTCTTTAAAATCAAAAGCTGGATTATTTTGGTTTTTATACATTTTGCGGTCGTATATTGGTATCACGTCGACGTCGTCCGAAGTACATTTGGTTTCCAGACAATAACTTAAGTAGTAGTAAATAGAAATTTAAATTTAAATATAAGGTTTTTAATCACAAAAGGAAGGTTGGGATTGATTTTGGGGGTTATGGTCCCAACAGTTTAGGAATGAAAGAACCTTAGTGAGCGCGCTCACATACCCCACGTCCCCACATTGTCATTGGAGAAATAAAATAAGTGTAAGAAAAAAAAATTGTATCAGAAAAAAAAATTGAATCATAATTTCCTGTCAATATTCACATCTACATAGTATGTCCTTATTATCTACAAAGTTTCATGAAATTCTGTTGTGTGGTTTGAGAGGAGTTGCAATGACAAAAGGTTGCAGTAGTATATTGGGCAAATAAGTTTAAAGGGGCGTAACTCCTGGAAAAAAAATTGAATCGTAATTTCCTGTCGATATGCACATCTACGTAGTATGTCCTTATTATCTGAAAAGGTTTCATGAAATTCTGTTGTGTGGTTTGAGAGGAGTTGCGATGACAAAAGGTTGCAGTAGTATATTGGGCAAATAAGTTCAAAGGGGCGTAACTCCTGGAAAAAAAATTGAATCGTAATTTCCTGTCGATATGCACATCTACGTAGTATGTCCTTATTATCTGAAAAGGTTTCATGAAATTCTGTTGTGTGGTTTGAGAGGAGTTGCGATGACAAAGGTTGCAGTAGTATATTGGGCAAATAAGTTCAAAGGGCGTAACTCCTAGAAAAAAAAGTTGAATCGTAATTTCCTGTGAATATGCACATCTACGTAGTATGTCCTTATTATCTGGAAAGGTTTCATAAAATTCTGTTGTGTGGTTTGAGAGGAGTTGCAATGACAAACTGTTGCAGTAGTACATTGAAGTAAATAAGTTCAAAGGGGCGTAACTCCTAGAAAAAAAATTGAATCGTAATTTCCTGTCGATATGCACAACTAATAGTATGTCCTTATTATCTAAAAAGGTTTCGTGAAATTCTGTTGTGTGGTTTGAGAGGAGTTGCGATGACAAGAAATAGGACTGACGGACTGACGGACGGACAGATGGACAGACGGACGGACGGGTCAAAAACATTATACCCTGCGCAACTCGTTGCGTGGGGTATAATTAGGGGCCAAAAAGGGGCCCAAATAAGCATTTTTCTAGTTTCCAGACAATAACTTGTGGAACTGTGTATGGATCTCTCTGAAATTATACCACAAGTTTCCATACCACAAAGGGATGGTTAGGATTGGCTTTGGGGGGTTATGACTCCAACCGTTTAGGAATTAGGGGCAAAAAAGTGAGAAAGAACAAGGGTGTCCTGGTTAACGGACAATTACTTAAGTACCAATTACAGTGTAAGGAAGGTAATTCAAACACAACTTTGAATTACCTCCCTTACACTGCTTTTAAATTATGTATAAAGAATTTTTGTATTGTCTTGAGGTGATTAGCTGTCAATTACTTTTTAGAAGTTACTATTTTAATCATTTTAAAAATGCTGATTAAGGTAAATTAATTTTAGCTATGATAATGAATGTCATTTTCTATTTTAAGACTTTTATGATGTATTTAAATGGGTTATTATGGTTGCAAACTCCATTGGAAATTTTAATTGAAATTATGACCGTGACTGAGGGAAAGAATTTTTTTTTGGAAAAATTGGGGGGGGGGGACAATATTTTCTCCTCAAGATTTCAGAAATCAAAAAGAAAATCCTTCAAATTTTTTTTTTTTTTATTTTAAAAAGGGGGGGGGGGTCAATTCGCAACAGCATAGTGTATTGCACAAAAGCAAAAAAATTGAATATAAATTCTAATCATATAACCAATTCTAAGTTCTTTGACTACAGTTATTCTGTGTCAGAAACCTATTATGTGTCAAATATTGAATTACAATCCAAATTTGGACCTGTATCAAGCGCGAATATTGTGTCCATTTTTGCCCCAA